ATCGCCCACATAAAGCTCCCTTTTACATTAAATAGCTCGTACAGATGATCTAGTGTGCAGTGAAAGTTGTCTGAACTGTGCAAATGGCAATAAGTAAAAGATTAGTGGCTTTCTTGTTCTTTTTCATCATTATCGATAAGACCACCAACAAAAGCCCTTCACAATGCCTTTAATTAACAATCGTCTGAACTAGGGAACTAATAATAATAATTATAAGGCAGGTCTGAAACAGGGTTTTGATTTACACCCCTACCAAATCTTTCTGGGAGTACCTTCTCCTCTCATAAGAATTTGTTTCTTGACTACATTTGTTGTTCCATATGCAGTTCAAATAGTTTGAAGAGAACAGGGCAAATAAAAAAGGAACCTGTAAGCGACCAAAGTCAAAGAGCTTGATGAAAAAATTGCCAGGTATTGAAAGAATTAAAAAAGACTTACTAGACTTCAACAAATCTTCCAGGTATCCCAGGCTGTGGATTGAGCAGTTTTTGATTTGACCCTGGTTCTGTTTAGGATCACTCATTTGTGTTCTTGGGCAAAACACTCTACCTACTCTACTCTACCCTGTAATTTACTAGCATCCCATCCAATTGGGAGTGGAAGTCCTAGTCCTAGTTGCTTAATGCTATAGCTTTTGCAGTATAGGATATGCTTGGCCCAAAGCAGACATAAAGTTAAACTGTAAATATTACATGTAACTGGAATTATTTTTTCTGTTTCAACTTATCACTCTGTGCCATTCCACAGCACTTTGTCAGCTGCCAGGTGTGGGAGCTAAGGTGGCAGACTGTGTGTGTCTTATGTCACTTGACAAGCATGAAGCTGTCCCTGTTGACACACATCTCTGGCAGATAACTACAAAGCACTACATGCCGCATCTTGTGAAGACAAAGTCTCTAACAGCTAAAGTTTATAAGCAGATAGGTCAGTAGTTAACTGTTTGGACATTTTCAGCCTGGATATGAACCAAATTAGCTCCAGTCTACTCAAAAAGGCATTTGTAGATCCAGTCAGTGTAAAATGCAGAGTGCAGACTGCAGACCAGGGCTCAAATGCAGACTGCAGACTTTTTCACTGATTCATGTTACCATTCCCATCATTGAGAGCTAACCATAAACAGGCTAATTGGAGCATTATTCTGGCTAACCAGGGTGTAGACTTGTATTAAGATTAGCCAGAATAACGCTGCTTACAAGCAGTTAGCATTTGATAAATGAAAATAACACAATAAATACTTAAAAAGTCTGTAGTCTGCAGTCTGCATTTTACCCCTGATCTGCAGTCTGCATTTTACCCTCAGCTGGCATTTTACCCCCGGTCTGCAGTCTGCAGTTTGCACTCTGCAGTCCGGAGTCTGGGTTTTACACTGAATGAAACTGAATCTTTGCAGACCAGTCCTCTGATGTAGAGTTGTCTGCCATGTGCATTTAAGGGGCTATGTGATCAATGGTGTGTAGTGCATTTGAGGAGTTATTTTTGATTTTGTGTCAATGTGTATTCAATCATAAATGGCTTTACAAAGTTTACAATCTGCACAGGTTGATAGTCTGTAAAAGACTGTTTTCAATCCGTATATGGATTTGAAAAAAATTTTGTGTTGTATTTAAGGGGACTTAAATATTTTCTCATGCTTTACATGATACAAAATGTTGATCATTACAGAGACTGACATTACCAACCGTGGCTGAACTGTCTTTAAAGCTTAAATGACTCAAATGAGTGTTTAAGGAGTTTAAAAAGGGATTAAAGTACCGGTATATAGATTTATTGAATAAAACTTAGTCCTTAATTGCAAACTATTTTTGTCCTTGAAAAGTTCTTTAGATGTCCTGTAATTTTGTTTGTCTGAAGTCGTATGAACCATAAACATCCTTAATGGAACAACAGGGTAGTATCTCACTATGTAGACTGAACAGGCCTAATCAATAAACTGGCTCAGAAAAGTGAGACAAAATCACCTGAAGAATCGAGTGAAGTGTTAGATGGACCCTCACCCAAAATGGCTGGTTGTAAATATAAAGAATGTTCGATTTGCACTGTACTCAATAATTTTGATTACATGACTCCAATTAGGTAGATCTAATTCACTGTAATGTAGGGTATTCTTTCCTTTCAGAGCAGGTCAGTAGGAAATCCAATATGTACCTAAACTTGAATTGCTCTTAGTCTCTCAATTCTATCATTACAGTCAGAACTTAAATGTTTCATATTTACACTTGTTACTGCGTTTCAGGTGCAGAGGGTGCATCATTCTTTGCTACGTTATATGGTGACCTACACATATACTGGTATTTCTCTTTTATCTTCAGGTGATCATTATAGGGATCTGTTTGGAGAATATGCAGGATGGGCACAATCAGTAAGATATATCTCATATCATTTAGTGGTCCTCTTTGCAGTCATTGTTAGGGCTCGCAATGTAACACTTCCTCTTCCAACAACAGCTGCTTAAGGTGGCTCACAACAGTTTCCAGCACTTTCCAGCAGTTACACCTTGACGGAGCAAAACTGCTATCTTTATCAAGCGATTCTGCAATAAAGGCATCACATAAACACCCAATCATTGGTCAGCAAGTTGCCTTCATCTTCAAGAAAACAATACAACAATACAACCTGTTCAAAAACACCCTTAATTTTAGCTTTAGGTGCTCATAATTCAAAAATGGTTTGGTGAAACCCAATTTTTATCATCAAATACTGATGAGATTGTTAAGATACAACTTTTTGCAAAAGGTAGGATTCAGGGCCATTTCAAATTTTTGAAGATATAAGGTGGCTCTGAACCTTACCGGTAGAATTTTTTAAAATTAAACTTTGCAAAAAGTTGTATTTAACTTAAAACCTGAGCTTTTTGCATTCAATGAAAAGGAGAATGTAGCCCTAATGCAGACTGAATTGAGATTTTACAGGACAACCATTAGATAGCCAGTAATTTCAGTATAAACTTTTAAACTGACAAAGGCCGAATTTGTTTGGTCAAATGTATTTCTGTTAGTTGCTATAAAAGTTGGATTAACATTTCAACAGGTTCGCAGTGTTGAACACAACTTTGAATGTATGTTACTGATTTCTTGTAATCTACAATTCTTAAGCTTTCAGAAGATAATTTTTTAAATGATATTTTTGCTGGCACCAAAACATGTTGGTCATTTGGTCGTAAATATATACTATCCCCTAATTTTTTTCTCGTGGATTTCCACCCTGCTTTTTGAGAAACCTTTCTCTGCCCTGGACACTTGCATTTGTCACTGGAAGGCAAAAACATTAACATTTCTGATGAGCACACACTAATTTTCACAACGAGCTTGCAAAATGTCAGCAGAAAAGTGGTGTTTTTACTTCCGACTTAAAGATGTGTTAATGCAAGCTTAGGAGGAGGTGTGAATACAGAAATCTCAGATTGTAATAGTGTTATTTACTTGGTTTAGGATATGGAAAACTGAACATTTTAATTCAAATAACTGCCTGAGTTATACAAATGTGCCGTGGTTGTGCTGTATGCTAATTACGTGGCTGTGCGTGCTGTGCAATAGGTGCTGGTGCGAAGGTGTGACATATTTACATGGTGTAACACCTTTCCCCTTTTGAGAGCTTAAGTTATAATAGAAAATCCATTAGACCTGTTCATCAGATGTCATGTCTCAAGAAAGTCTATTTTGACAGTACGCTCTTAGTTAGTTCTTTTTTAGTCCATAGCAAAGTCCCTGAATCTTGAGGGAGGCCTTCGCTGTCTCACTGAACGGCGTAACGTAGAAATAGGCTCTTGGTCACTTTGGGGTGCAGGTTCCTGCTCCACTAGTTGATCCGTTTCTGTAAGCTCACTTTCAGGCAAGGATACAGTTTC